GTACTCTGCAGAACAAACTTCTCTGCTTTTCTCACCATATGTGTGGACAGATGGATTACTCTTTCACTCACATACACTTTTAGAGTGAATATTTGTGGCTGTCTAAAACCTACTTCTAGGGAACAAAGACAGTATCTCAGGAATTTTACTATTTCTATAGAATATGTTGCATTTTATTTTTGCATACAAAACATGCATTCTGTTTAAATTCAGCCCTGTAGTAAAGGAGATTTCTTTTTCAACCACTTCATTATTTTATTTTTGTCCATTTGGGCTGTAGTACATTTTAGCACAGGCTATTTTCAGCAACTGAAAAGTTTTTGCAGCATCAAGTGGAATTCCTTCTCTGCTCAATTTGTTTTAACAAACCATAACAAAACATATACATTAGCAGATAAAAGAAAAACAAAGATGTGGCACAAACTAATAAGTGCCTGGTATCCGTGTGTCCTTATTTCCTCTAGCATGTCAAGATAGGCAAGCTTGTGAGAGAACAAATGAGGATTAAAATAATCTTCTGTTCTAATAGACACAAGAGCTGCATTGTGAAAAAATATCATTTTAACAGTTTGTTCTCCCACTTTCTTCAACTAAATACAGTCTTTCAAAATCATAATGATAACAAAATAGACACAAACAAAATGTGTTCCAATACTGTAAATAAAACACATTCTTGCCAATGGGATATGCAGAACTATTTAAAAATTGAATTCAGGGCAAGAAATAATAAGCTACTCTTACTACAAAGAAGAGCAAAAATAAAACAATCTGAACAAAGTTTACAACTACTATTGATATTACTTGAACCTACACCACATCATATATTCAAGTAGTGTGTGTGTGTGAGGAATATATTGCTAACAAGGTTGAAACAAAGAGCTAAGCAACCTACTCAGCAGTTATTGATAGACAAATTCTTCCATCCAAAAATACAGAGGTTGTATAGTGGCCTCAATCTATATCGGGGTGGGCAAACTTTTTGGCCCAAGGGCCACATCTGGGTGGCGAAATTGCATGCAGGGCCATGAATGTAGGACTGGGGTATGGGAGGGGGTACGGTGTGCAGGAAGGGGCTCAGGGCAAACGGTTGGGGTGCAGGAGGGGGCTTGGGGCAGGGGGTTGGGGTGCAGGGGGTGCGGCAGGGGCTCAAGGCAGGAGTTAGGGGGCTCAGAACAGGGGTTTGGGGTGTGGCAGGGGGCTCAGGGCAGGGGGTTGGGGGCTCAGGGCAAGGGGTTGGGGTGCAGGAAGGGTGCGGAGTGTGGGAGGGGACTCAGGGCAGGGGGTTGGGATACAGGGAGGGATGTGGAGGGCGGGAGGGGGCTCAGGGCAGGAGGTTGGGGGCTCAGGGCAGGGTGTTGGAGTGCAGGAGTGCCGGATACGGCCCGCAGGCTGTAGTTTACCCAGCCCTGGTCTATATTGTAGGGAAGGGAGGTAGAGTCTCTACTCTGCAACAGGACTATCTGGAGGTATTCTGACCTATTGAGCCTCTGCCTCTGGAGAGTTATGGGTTGGGCACATCAGATCAGGAGCTCTGCCACCATTTCAAATGTGAAGCATACGTTCCGCCCATCTCACACCTGGACAAGTGCAGAAGGGTGGGGTAGTCAGTATCTTGTCTGCAACCCTCCCTTTCCAGACCCATTTGGAGAGTCTAACACTGTGGGCAGACCTCAGGAAGTACAACTATAGTCAGCCACTAGGCAGGGGCAGAAAGGAAGAGCAGCTCTTTGTCATGCTCCCTGCTTGTATGCCTAGGGCTCAGCCAGCTCTTTTAAACTTAATGAGAGACTCTCATTGACTTCAGTTGGAGCTGGATCAGACCTGACACAGAGTGAGCCAATGTCCACAAGGAGTGGGTTTAGGAGGTAAATTCCCATTTCCATATATGAATCATGCAATGTTTCCAAAGTACACTCTTCCCTTTCAAATATGTTCCTGATATTAGAATCCTAAGACAACTTCTAAGAAATGTCTTACCCCGTGCTAGAATAGCATTTTTTTATTTCTTATTCATTTTGCAAATGAAAGTCCACAACTCATACTGACATTATCAGTGCTGACTTCTGCAGCCACCAATTCAACAGAGCATGGGGATCTGAACTCCAACAGGATTCCAGTACACAAAAATGAGAATACCACCTGCTTTTACTCATCTTATACTTAATACCATAGGCATGGCTGACTTCTAGTTATTGCAGAAGCCTCTTAAGCATATTAGAATATAATGGTTACAGTAAATTAGAACCTGCCACAAAACTGGATGTTTCTCTCCTTCTTTTCCTCTTTATAGCTCTGCCAGTATTGGAGGACTTCTCAGAATAGAAAGTGCCTACAAGTCACTTGTGCCACTTCAAGATATCTCAGTCCCTTGATTAGCATTCACAACGTTGTTAAGCAAGTCCAAATAGCCGGAAAAGCATGATACCGCACCTGTTCATAGCTAAAATGATTTGCCATGGCTTCCAAAGGAGTGGACAGGAATGGTCACTGAGATTAATGGTAGAACAGGAGAGGGTCCTGAATTCTGTGATGGATTTTTCCACAAAAATATTCAAGTTCTAGGGGAGACTTTTACGCAGCAGCATGTTCATGGCTTTCTCCTGTCAGCATACCTCAGTCTGCCTCCTGATGACACTGCTACTGGTGCTTTTTTGATACTGTTAGGCCTAGCAGCTTTGAAGCACTGCCGCTGCTGTAGTCTGCTGTTTCCACATTATGTGCAGCAAAGTGGATAGCAGGACTGATCCAGCAGCAGCAGTCTCACTATTCACTTTTGCTTTGAGGCTTTGCCCATGTGAATTCAAATTTTGCAAGTAAGAATTTGCACATTTCAGAAGGTTGGAAAAACTATCATTTCCCCCAAGGAATGCTGTTATTTGTGGATAAAACGTAAGTTGAAATTCTATACAGAAGTAAGTGTTCCCATATTAGCTATGTGCAAGAGCACACACCTCCTTTGTTGCCTCTAAAATCAAACAGCCTTTTTAGTGGAAATCAGTGAAAAACTGAAGGGAAGCCACAAACCATTTTGCTTTTCATAGTGCTCTACCTTCAAATTCAACATATCACAGTGGAAGGAAGCAGAGAACAAGCTAACATGCATAACATCCCCAAGTGATTTTAATATGCTCAGCAATGAGGGTTACAGGGAGAGAGATTCACATATGAAAAGGGAGTCCAGGATGCTAGTGGCCTCTGAACTCAGACATTTGCATAGCAAACTGACCCGTCAACTGTTTTATACAATGACTAAAGTGATAATACACTGTACTGCATGTTTCTTTGTGACACGTACTTTGGAGGACATGGGCGAAGAGCTGACATATTGGAACACCGCCTAATGTACTGTGACCAACACGTAATCCACCATTTGAACCATGAGCCATATATCTACAATAGACATGACCCCACTCCATTTGGTTTAGATCATACCTCATCTTTCCTTGCATAGCTGCATAAAGCTGTGGAAGTCCATAAAAGAAGGACCATGCTAATGAGGTTCAGATGCAGCCATGAATTTTATTACTGGTTTGATAGAAAGACACATTAAATGTCAACATCAAGTCCACAGATCAGCTGTGCAATGTTCTTATTCTAAACCCGTTCAGTTGGATGATTTGATGTGTATTTGGTTTTCATGGCCACCATTTTGTAGATGGTAATTTGTCTTGGACAAGCCACTGACACTTACTGTACAATATCCTGAAAAAATCCTTGATGATGCTCAAAATATGTAGAAGTTAGAAGATAAATGGGGAGAAACTCAGATGATTCCCCAAGGACTAAGAAATGGTACCAGCAGTTCTTGCTCCTAATTCTTATAGATACCCTAAGATTCTTTCTATTCTGGTACTTTGTTTTCAGTGCTTTATGTCACAGGTAGCAGTGAGTACTAACTAGACATGTCAAATGCTGACACCTTCTCCCCATCTGTCTGTACTCCTCTGAAATGTGTTCAGAGCTGTATTTCCTGCATTAATGGAAAAGCAACTTGAACACTGCTGTCTCTTTTGGGGTCACAAATTGGGGCACCATTGATTGGTTAGAGAAAGCAAAACTGCCTGAAAAAGAAAATGGCAAATGAATTTCAATGGATTCTGTAAGGTTAAAATTGTAGATGCTACTTCTCTCTGAAGAGCCACCATTGACATCAGTGGTGGCAGAATCAGATCTCTCTAAAAATAAATCTCGCCTATATTCAAATTAAAACCTTCAATTATTTAAATCAACAGAATTAAAAAATCTTATTTACTTTAAACTATTCATGCTGTTTTTAAAAAGTGTACTTCTTTCAGCTCAGACAAAGAAATATATGAGTAAATTCACTTCGGTGTGTAGTTAGTTGTCACTTTCCCATTCTCATGCATTGCTAACATGTTTGGTTTGCAAACATGGCAAGGGAACATGCTTTTTAAAAATGGTTTTCATTGGAATTTAAAGCAGCTCCATGAAAACATTTAGTCTTAGGTTTCGTAAAAGCTTATTTTTCAAAAACCTAAATGTGGGGCAAATTTAATCGGATAATGTCCCTTTAGATGGCTTTTTCCAGACAATATCTGAGTGTATCTTAGACATATTACTGGTTCTCTTCCTTTTTCTTTTCTCGCTTCATTCTTAGAATCAGTTTGCTCAGTCAAGTCTTCCTCCTCGACTTTCTCCTTGTCACTACAGATGGAGACTGTGCTGTTACTTGCTTTTTCACTTTGCCACTATGTTGTCTTGGTGCTATTCCACAGCAAAGAAGGGGCCCAATTCTGCTTCCACAGAATTCAGTGACAAAACTCTCACTGACATGAGAAGAGTAAAATTAGGACCCAATTCATTTTAATGGGCTCTCCTTTGGATTCCCAGCTCATTACCAAACCCTGCCATTGTTACATCTGTACTTGTCTGAGTTGAAACATTGTTTAGATTTTAAGTGGTTCAGGATTTTGTTGCTTTAGTCAACAGTGATACAGTTTTTGTGTTTTGCATTTAAAGTATATTATTACATTTCTTACCATCCAAGCTGTGACAAAGTCTCCCATCCAAGTCCCCACTGCAGCAACCTTCATAAAACTTTCGTTCCTGATGCCCATAAAGTCTGTTATGATGTATGCCCTGTGGAAATAAGCACACAGACTGTAAGTTACACACATTCATTTGTTTTACTGAGGAGAAATATTTTTAACATGAAAGATTTTCCAGCTTTTGTATGATCACACATTCGGCCAGATCTAACATCTACCGGAGTCAGTTCCAATTAGAGATGGAGAAGTGAATACAGTTGTACAACCATGCTATGTTTTTAAGCCAAAAGACTGACAAAAGCTTCTGAAGACTGTAACAAGAGTTCTATACTTTTCACCTCTCCCTGAGCACAAACAGAACTGTAGCATTCTGTCAATTGGAGAGCTCCCATAAAAATAGTCCTTTCATCTCTCTTTAAAAATAATTGAGCCACCTGACCTTAAAATTCTGTGAATTGTACAACCATGTGTCTTTTAACATTAGAGTAAAAATACCCTTCATTTAATTCTAGTGAGAAGCAATTGTCTCATGTTCTTGTTAAATTTCAAAATCTCCATGGACATACTTTATCTAAAAATGAATGGAAATGTATTTTCACACACATTAAGCTATGTTCAGGGAAGGACGGAGTTAACAAAAAACAAAACAAAAACCCAAATATTCTACTCAAGCAATGGAGCAAATGGAATATGTAACATCACACGATGGTCTTCTATCCACTTCAAGCTCAGCACAAAGGCTCAAGTTGGGAACTACAAATACCAATTCTAAATTTGAACTTTCTTACTCACAGCGTAGTGCATATTTATTTCCTTTGTTAGCAATCTCTTTGTTTATTTTTAAAGAAAAGCTTGTTCTTGCTCATTTATGTAAGAGCTAATAAGTTGAACAATAATAGGTCTTACATTGTATCTTTTCAAGTAAAAATGTATTTACGGGCTTCTTAAAACAGACTATATAAATGTTATGCATGTTCAAGGATATGGATGATGAAGCCAACTGACTGTAACAACTTCTTGGAAACTAGTGTTATCTATTGTGCATGTAGGCACCCTTTACTAGAAGGACCTCTGAACTTTACTGGGAGTGTTCCAGGGAAAAGCCTGTGTGCTGCAATCTAGCCTCAGAGACTACAACTCCCATAATGCCTTGGGGAAAGAGGGGGAGACTTCCTCCTGCAAGGAGAGCAGGCAGTGGACACCATTTTGGGAAAAGGAGTGAGATTGCTGCTGTGGAGCTCTGTCTATATCAGGAGCTGTTGAGAGCCTGCAGGGGCTTTGATTGAGCAGGGAGCCTCAGGGGTGGTTGGTGGCTTTACTGGAGCCAGGGCAGAGACTGTGCCTAGAGATGACTGAGGTGGGCCTGTAGTGAAGGAGCTCTGAGTAACCCCCACTCTGGTTTGGGAAAGTAGGTGCAAGGGAGGGGGCACAGCAGAAGACGGCGTCTGAGGAGAGGCAGAGTGATCTTCCCACCGAACCAGGACCCAGAGCTGCTGACATGTGGTGGGGCTGGCTCCAATCGTCACAGGGGTTGCGCAGCTTGTGGCCTGGGCTGGACTGATACGCAGAACCAACAAAGCACTGTCTCCAGCTGCAGATCCCCAAGCGCGCCCACGCAAGCGCCTAGGACTCTGAAATCCAGAGGAGTGTACGCTCTGGGGTTGGGTAAATGGTGGCAGTGTAAATGCCAGTTAGATAAGTTTATTACTGTATATTTGTTAATTGATTTTATTCAACTGCCCCTATGGATTTAAATTAGTAGTGACATATAATCTTAGTCTGTTATACCCTGATTTTTTAAGTTGTTAAGTAAAGGTGCATTAACTCTATTTTAAGTATATTGAATGTACATTATTTATAATTGGTATTTGAGTTACACCCATACCACAGATTATATTATTTATTATTAGAATAGATTTATTCCTGGAGTTTCCCAAGGCTCACCTTTGAGTGTGTGGAGGGGACAGCCAGGTGGAGGCACCGCCAATTTTAGGAGTGAAGGGACTGCAGCAGAGGGGTGAATAGAGGATTCCTACCTATCCAGCAGGACCACTGGGATACTCAGGATCTTCTTTAATGTCAACAACATCAGGCACACAGGTGAGTGTTGCCTGCTCCCGAGTAACCCAGGGAGGAAATGGGAGTTACATGCAAATCTATCTAAATGCTTATTATGAATCCATCACCATAGTATCTAGGAGCTTATGGGCCAGACCCTGCAACTGTATCTGTGCAGGTGGACCCCCTGTGCCTATGTGGAGCCCATTAAAGTCAAATTTTGCCTGCATTGATCCAGAGAAGGATATGGCCTTGTATCTGTATTTGGGAACAGTAAGTTACAGTGTGAGGTAATAACCTACTTTTAGCACAGATGTATGGCCTGGCAGACCATAATGGCTCTTGGATTAAAAGCTAATTTAGAGATATTTTAGCTAGCATGTCATTAACAAAACAAACCATGATGATGTCTATTATGTTAATCAGTTGAACAGCATGTAAATGTAAGCTCAGATTTCCTGTTGGACTGCTCAAAAAAAGAGAGAGATTGTTATAAGCAATTTTTAAATGTGTCCCATAAAGTCAAGTTAAACGTGTTTAATTTTTTCCCTTCTCTGTTGTCTGTTCTCAACATCTAAGACACTGTCACTTCTGAAAACCCAAAAATACTCAAGCTGGGGTGCCTAAAGTGAGGGTATTATCAAGAAAATGGACAGTGATGATGCTAGGGTTGCCAATTTTGGTTGGATTTATTCTTGGAGATTTCCTCATATGACATAATATTTAATTAAAGATTAATCTTTAATTCCTGGAGACTCCAGGCCAATCCTGGAGGGCTGGCAACCATAGATGATGCCTGGTGTGTGGGTGACTGGCCAAAAATAGTAAATGGGCCTGATTCTCCACGTCCTGTGTCATCTTGTGTAAAGTTGGTGTAAAGCAATGTAATTCTGACTGGTAGCCTTTTAGAACCATTTTCAACAGGTGTAGCAAATGACTGCACAAGGTACCAAGAAGCAAAGGATCTCACCCCATCTGAAAAACAGGCCACTTATTTAGCTTCTGTTGCTTAAGGGCCTGGAATGGCCTTCTGGGGAATTTCCTTATGTGGTTCTATGTCTCTTCATCTTGCAGCCCTCAGCGTAGGAGTGTGTAAGGGTTGAGAAGGAGAGCCACGCACAGGCAGTTGTGCAAGACTGCTGTAAATTAATTAGTGCAGCCCTGGGGCTGTGCCAGCCACTTAAAGAAGCAGAATTAGAAAGTCATTAAAGCTACTTTTACATCCCCATCTCCATAGCTGGGCATTCTGTGCTGCCCTTCCTAAGAAGCACATCACAGAATCTGACCCAGTCTGAGCAAGGGACACACTGACCCAGATAAAATCCACACATGCTGTGAAAGGTCAGACTTGTTCTTTTCTGGGGTTTGGCTTTATTGAGAACTCAAATAATAATAAAGAACATAAAACTCAGCCACACCGACCTTTCTTATAAACTGGTCCTATTAATAAGCCACACCTTCCACAATGAATTAGCAGAACTTGCTCAACCACTTTCAGTAGATTCTAACTTCTGCAGACAGAGTGGTACCCATATATAGACTCATTAACTCACAAATGCTGTCAGGTCCCTCTCTGTGAAGGGCTTTATTTAAAAAAAATCTGCATAAACATTTTTAGAATTATTGCAGAACTTGACTGCTATGCTGTGCAATTGCGCCAGGACCGGATCAGATTGTGAAAACTCCAAGTACTCAAATGAATCCTGGTACCAAATGCAGACTGTTAATCAAATGACAAACCAAATACTACAAGACAAGCATTGTAATACTCAATTAAGCAGCACAAAAAAGCAGGGATTAGAATCTCTGTCAGAAGAATGAAAGAAAATTCTGGCATCATTTCTTAGGTGCCAAGAAGCAGATTTCACGACTGCAGTGACATGGACGTGGAAGATCATCTGAATGAAACAACTTTAAGAGCATTCACTATAGCTGATACAGTACATCAGACAGCTTCTCCTGAGGAAATGCAATATACAATGATCATCACCTTGATACTGTGATCAGGGGAATTTACCACAATAAATAATTTAAAGTAAAATAATTCAAGAAAGTATACCCCACCACACATAGATGATCTCCCTGAGGTTTGAGTAGGTGAGTGAGAATTCTCTGAGAAGGTCAGAAATGCATCCTGAAACCTTGCACCAGGGTTGCAAACCCTTCTGATGCAGAAAAAGAAGAATACAACCACAAGGAAGAGGAACAATGTTGAGTTTAAAGTAAGATCTTGCGGATTTAGTAAAGAGAAAGGACTTCATAATAGCTAGTTCTTGGTTGTTTCAGTCAGTCTCCCTCAGAGACCCAGGAGAATAAGGCATGCTGGGAAATAAGTTTATAAACAATACCCCTTTCTCAGTATTGCCAACCCCAAGCATTGAAAATCACGTCACACTCTAAATCATGAGACTGGCTTAAAAATCATAGCATTTTTTTAAAATAATACATTTGGGGTTCTTCTTTTTCTCTTCTGTTTTTTGAGCCTTTAAACTTCATATTTTCAAACTTTCTTCCGCAACCCTGACTAGAATTAACTAGAAATTAACTTAATTTTTTTAACGAAAGCAGAAATTCTCAAGTAATCGGTCGATACCACGAATCATAGAATCAGCAAAATGTAGGGCTGGAAGGGACCTTGAGAAGGCATAAAGTCCAGCCCCCTGCACTGAGGCAGAACCTAGCAAACCTAGATCGTACCTGACAGGTGTTTGGAAGCCTATTCCATTGCTTAACTACCCTCTTAGAAAGTTTTTCCTAATTTCTGACCTAAATCTCCATTGCTGCAGACCCCATTAGTTCTTGTCCTATCTTCAGTGAGAACAATTAACCACAGTCCTCCTTATAACAGCCCTTAATATATTTGACGACTGTTATCAGGTCCCACCTCAGTCTTCTTTTCTCAGGACTAAATATGCCCATTTTTTTTAACCTTTCCCCATAGGTCAGGTTTTCTCCACCTTTTATCATTTTTGTTGCTCTCCTCTGGACTCTCTCCAATTTTTCCACATTTTTCTTTAAATATAGTGCCAAGAA